TAATTTTTTTTTACAAAACTGACAAAGAGACGAGAATTTTGCAGACTCATCGCGGAGAGCGCGGCCAAAAAATGTTTTTTAACTACAAAGCTCTTGCGTGAAAAAAAGAACAAGATTTAAAAAAAAAATGGGATCAAGTTAACGTCCTCCCCCCAAATAGACCAAGTTAAGATCCTCCACCCCAGCGTTAAATTTAAACTAAATTTGCTTCGCGCTGCATGTAAAATGCTCTATTCTGATTGGATGAAAATTTGAACTCAGAACCAAAAAAACATCCTCCCCCTAAACGGCTTTGGAGGTGCGGGGAGGAGGAGGGAAAACTTAAATTGGTCCAAAAAAAAAGATTTGAATGAAAATTTCGTCAAACGAGACAAGTTTTTGTCAAATGCTTGATCTGTGAGAAAATCATCAAAATTTCTATTAGAAAAACTGCTCGTAACGCCGTGTAAAAAATGAGTGATTTATATGTTTTTTTTTATCGTTGCAGGGAAATGGGAGTGCCTCAGAAATACTTGAACGAAGTGATGAGAAAGATGAACAACCCATTGCCAGTTGGAGTCCGATAAAAAACCACCTGTCGCTCAAACTCCAATCAGCACTGCTTTCGAAAATACCTTTCAAGCTCAACCTGTCTGTTATGACGTAGCAGAATTTTCTAGAAAAGTGACACCAAAATTAGAACTGAGTTACTTCGGTTGTATTCCATACTTCATTTCCCGCGCATGCTTTCAATGCCAACTAGTTTGTCTCTGAGTATTATCGATGTGCTTAATTAAATTTATATTGCTAGTAACTCGATTTATAACTTACTTGATTCACCCCATCGGATGTACGATAGAAACGAAGATCAGTTCCAAAGCTAAACAATACAATCACTCATGACGTGGCAAAGAACTATGGTGGAGGGCCAATATTTTTTGCGCGATTTTAGGAACTTCAAAAAATTCACGTAGGAGGTAATAGGGGTACGTAGGGGAGGAAAAAGTAGGGGAGGAAAGCGTAAATGAATTGAATTTAGCTGATAAAACACTTTGAGATAGAACCTTTTGAAACTATGCTCTCCAAGCTCTTCGTAAATAGCAGATGCTCGGCGTTTATGTGTTTGGATCCTTAAGCAAATCCAGTTTTCGGTAAACATATTTCTTAGCCTGAAATAAAATTCGCGACGCGACGCTAGAGGAGTTGCCTTGATGATAGATGAAACTGTGATTTCGAAAGAGGACTCAATCATATGTTGTTTTTAGTGTTTGACTTTGTTTGTGACTTGGGTACAGTCAGCATGAATGACTGTCAGAAATTCAACTCTGTCAGAGTTTTTACGTGAAATTTATAGAACCGCTTAACTGTTTTAGTAGGTAGTTTTTTTAGCAAGTACACTTAAGCTAAGCCAAGTTATCAAATGTGACGCGTGCGTTCGTTATGTTCATTTTGGTGTTAAGTCTAAAAACAGGAGTTAAAAAGAAGATTCCATACAGCAACTTATGATATAGAAGTTAAATTGGTAGGAATTTACCTCTGGAAAATCCGCTTTCTACTATGTGTGCCTGCTATATCACCGGATCTTTTGTTAAGTTACGCAATTTTTCCATGCCTTCGAAAAAATCTGTGGAATTGTTTTTTGTGAAAATTCTTACAGTCTAATTTTTCAAAAAGATTATTTTCTGGGCAATAGCATACTAACAGGTTTCAAAGTTGAAATTACTTTTTTGTACGATTTTTCCTCCTTCTTGGTTTTTTGTGCTCAAAGCAGGCAAGATAATCTGTGTGAGTTTAATTTAGATAAATTAAGTTACACTGTTTGGGCATAATTTAAGTTGAAAAATGTCACGAGGTTTCAGTTTTGCTGGCAACTAAAATGCCCAAAATTTTGAGTTTAGCTAATCATAAAGATAAACTTCTCTTCAAAAATTTTTAACTGAACCGTTTCTGCCATACTGGCAGCTTCTGTAGATTCAAGACAAGATGTATGAGCTCCCAAGTTACAGTTTCGACTTTTTTTGCATCTGGAGCGTTATGAGGATTTGTTACTGAACTACTAAAAAGTTTTATATTTCAAGGGACCCTTCTACCCATTATCATTCATCATTACGCTTTACTTTTGTCATTACGCTTTACAGGTTTTTTTCAGCTCTAGCTGGGCCACTAGCTGTGAACTAATGATTTTCCTAGGTTTTAACTTGTGCGGTGCTAAATTAGATTGTAATAAATTGTAGGAGTCCATGAGAAAGTCCTGGTATGTATTTTTAGATACGTCTATCATTACTACAACAGCTGGTTCTTTACCTAATAATACGCGTCTGATACGCATAGCGTGTCGTTTGGCAAAGCAACCGGACCCATTCAAAAGCTGAACTTTTTATCAAGCTGAACCGCTTCCATACTTACTTGGAAAACTAAAAATTTTCAATAGAAGCTGCTTTTGTGTTGGCTCCAAAAACTTCTGAAAAAAATCAAAAACTTAGTTGAATTATTTTTTACAACATTCAAAGTCGCAGTTTTCCGTGCTACAAGAGTTTTTTTGCATTTTTTTAGTCAACCCAATTTTTGAAAATAAAGCTGTGTTTAGTTTATGTAGATTTTTATTTTATTTGTCAGCGCCTAACTGGCCATAAATGGATTAGCGCTTATTTATGTTTGCACCATTTTAAATTGAAATGAGACATAGTAATAATCTAATAAGAATTGTTTTTGAGCGGACTTGCGCGGCTTTGAAAAATTTGGAGCGTCGAGCAAGCCGTTTTCTTTGATGATACGCAGATAAAATTAAAATTTTCAGTCAACGAATTTTTTGGTATTTTTGTTTTCCACAAAAAAGAGATGCGGATCAATTGTTTTAGTTGTCTCATTTTCTCAGCGCGTAGTTTTCCGAAACATTTTCAAAAGTATGGCGTTGAAAGTTTCGTAATTTTTATTGAGGAAAAAAATTGAATCAATAGGACTTGTGGGTTTTTTGCGCCATTTTGAAGACATCGATGAAATTAGAGGATATTAAACGGAACACATTGATGAGTTTAGAGGGCATTAAACAAACAGCCTTGTAACTGATAGTTCAAATCAAGTTATAGTCGTTGAAAGAAGATATTTAGATTTAATTATTGGAACAATTATAGCCTAAACTAAAACCTAAATTACAGCCTAAAATTTACAATAAACTGAGATAGGGACCAGTTTGAGTTTATTTAAGTGCTATCAATTTGTTTCTTTCTGTCTGGAGACCTGCTGTCGTGACCTTGCGATCTCTAACGTCCGGCATGATCTGAAATAGAACGGTGCAGTAAGATTTCGATTTGATGCTTAACAGTTGCTTACAATTCAAGTTAAACAACTATTATTTTTCTATACGATACATTTCTATACTTCAACAAAACATTCTCATAATTTCATTACGAAGCCAAACTGTGCATTTTGTGAATTGTAAGCGATTTCCGCAACAGGCAAAAGCTAGACTTGTCGCGGAACCAGCAATATTGCTTTTTTTTATCTTCTCTGCTTTTGGATTCCACGGACAAACATTTAAAACACTATTGCTCAAAATCGCTCTAAAAACAGGCAAATTTGCGGAATCCGCAACAAAATGTGTGGAATACGGAACCAGTTTGTGGAATCCGTGAGCAAATAAAAATATAAATGTTTGGTAAACTTGAGCTTTCGCGGAATCCGCAACTGTAAGTGGAATCCGCAAATTGTAAGCGGAATCCGCAAAGTGTAAACAGATTCCGCAAACTGTAAGCGGAATCCGCAAATTTTAAGCGGAAACCGCATAAATTTGCAGAATCCACGTGCATTTGCGGAACCCTCTGACATTTGCGGAATCCGGAACAACTACCAATATTCGCTCGTTGCGGAATCCGCAAAAAAATCAATGTGCCGGCAAAATTTACGTTAGAGGTAATTGTACGCGGAATCCACTGAAAATTTCAAATTGTGTTTTAAATGTTCAAACTGTATTTTAAGTTTATTGATCACAATTATCGGATCCAACGAGCAACATTTGAAATTTCAAACGCGTTGTTTCTCGAATTGGGTTATGATTAGACAAAAAGTGAAGAAAACAAAGGATGCTTAGAAATTCACCAGAATTCTCAGCCAAAATTTTATCCCAAGAATTGATCAATTTAACTTTTTTTATTTAATCAAGAAATACGGTGAAACTAACAATTTAATTAAAGAGAACTTCATATAAAAAAGCCCAACAAAATTCTATAGGATAAGATTTCCACAAATTTGCATAAAGCGTTTGAAGTTTGTTATATCGACCAAAAGTGTATTCTCTTATGAGGAGTTTTGGAAGCTTTACACTTGTAGAATTTTGTAGTGCTGTGTAAGTGGTTTCTAGTGCTGTAATTTTTTTGTCAATCAATACTGTAGTTTCAGCCTTATTCTTGATTATTTAGAAAAATTACCGAAAAGACCCATTTTTGTAATAAAAATTCGATTGAGAATTTTGGGTACAAAATTGCAACAAATTAATTCTGGTTGTGGGACCCAATTTGAGAAAAACGAATTTCAACTGTCAAGTTTTAATTCATTTTGTCCGGATAATTTAAATCAGCACTAACTTTAGTTACTTTTTATTGATTTTTTTTGCTCAATTCCTGGTCTACCAAAATGAGACAAATATATAGCGTTAAAAAAGTTTTTTAAATGATTAAAATCAGATAATTTCTGCAATAACATTTTTTGCGTACGCTTAAAAACGGTTTAAAATTATCGATAGCTCCAGCGAGCAATTTTTTGTGCGGATGTTTGAGTAGTACTGTGGCGTGTCGCGGATCTTAAGCAGGTCCTTGCTAAAAGTGCGGGTGGAGAATTTCCGTACGTAAAGCAGAATCCTAGAAAGTGGGTCTTTAATTTTTTTTATCCTAGGACTTTGTAAGCGAAAGGAATTTCCTACCCACCTAGGAGAAGACATCCTCATTAAGATTTTGCTAAACTTAGCTTAACATCAAGGGACCAAGCTACACGGGACCGAGCTACAAGTGGTACAAAACATACATTTTTTTACAATTTCAGTTTTCCAATTAATTGTCTTGGTAAGTAACCACTGATGGCTTAGTTTTTTTTACCACCGATAGCTTATTGAGTCTACATTGTATCCAATTGTTTACTTTCATTCTCACTGGCTTGAAAACTAGCTGGTTGAAAAAAGGTTGGGGAAAAATTAAATATATTGCGAAAAAGCCCATTAGCTTCTTTTGAATGTGAAATACCTCACGAAAAATATACGTCAACAAAACAAACTTTTCCCGACAATTCAAATTGATGAAACTGTTGTCTAGTTGTGTATTCTCAGTTCTTCTTTAGTTCTGATAACGATAACCTCGGCGTTTTAATAAAGTTAGGACCTAATGGTGGCCTGATTAACATTGCTATCTCTTCCTTAGACAAACGCTTGAAAAATTTTAGGATTTCACGATTGCACGCTAGTTTGCACATTGCGGCCGGATATATCGATGAGGTTTATCAAGAGGGTTCCTCATACTGTTTAATGTTGCCCTAGAACAATGACACCGGCGTATTGGGACATTTGAGTGTAAAAGCTTTCTTTCGTTTTTTTAAGCTGAAAAAGCTGAAAGTCCATCATTCACTGGGTTGTTAATACAGAAATCAGTTGTGCTACAAATAAAGGATGTTGTTACGAGAGTAAAGCGACCGGCTCGTTTTTTTTGGCATCCAAAGATTTTTAAAACACAGCAAAGCTCGAGTTACAAGCTTATATTTTTTTAACAAAACATTTACACGGTTTCCATTGGTAAAACGGTGATTACCTAAATAAACTTGGATCAAATACCTCAAAGTTTTGAGTTGAGGAAT